CACAATTAAAAACATTTTATTTAGGCCTATCTATGGCCTTCAGAAAGTTGACGACTCTATATGTTTCGACTTTACGGGATGACAATTGACTCTCTCATAAAGTCCATTACATCTGGGGTTGTACAGGGTTGTAAAGAGTTGCCTAGTGCTGATGAGTCTGCACACCTCTTGCATGAGTTCTGAGGTAAACTGGGTCTCTCTGTTTCTCAAGACTTCTTTTAGGAAGCCTACTATGCAGAACACTTCCAGGAGGGCTCCTGCTACTCTTTCCATCTCTATCTCTGGCATTGCTATGGTTTCTGAATATTGTCCACAGCTGAATGGCTTTTCTAAAAGAGGCATTTCACCTTGTGGCACCTTGGCTACCTTCCCTCTAGGTATTGTCCTTTGGCAGATGTCACATGACCTGCAGAATCTGGTCTTGTCTTCAATGTCCCCCAGCCATTTGAAGTTACTAGTGATTCTTTCTGTCACCTTTTTCTCCTAGGTGTTCTCCCACAATTGATTTATGAGCCAACTTCATCTCTTAAATCCCGTATAACTGTTGGTACTATGATCTGTTAAACTTCCCCAGTGAACCGCCTTAATATATACCTGCTGGTCCTCTATTCTGTAGGTCCCTTTACCCTTGGTCTTGTGCTCAACTTTCTCCTGGACACTTTCCCAAATTTTCTGCAGTGAAGAGTTTTATTCTGTGAATCCTTCAGTACCCAAAGACCTACTTTCGGGATGTCACCTTTCCAGACTTGCAGGAGCTTGTTGTCTTGCTTGCTTTGTTTTTCTTGAGCACTAATGGTGTTTGCAGATGCTTTATCAGTCTGATTTCTGTCTGGTTCCTCCAAACTTCTACTGCCTGGTATATTTCCAATCATCAAGTCATAGATGGGTGCCTTCATTCAAATGGTCCTAAAGTCTCCCATGTAATATGGAATGTCAACCTTTATTCTTGTTATGGAGAACATTCTCACTGTCCCATCGATCAGCACACACAGATGTACCTTGCCCACCATCTGGCCATCAGGTACTGGACTGGTTCTCACTGTTGCATTGCTGCACCCAGTGTCTCATAGGACTTTCATTTTTTTTCCACAGCATAGCCTTCACCCAAATGACAAGACGAGTTATTCTTCTCAACTATGTTATCACAACACAAGCTGTGATACTTTCATTTCAAAAATCGCCATTATATGCTCTTTATGGCTCAACTCACAATCACGAAGCCTAACTTCACTTTTTTTTTTCAATTTAAAAATCGCCACTATACAGTCTTTATGGCTAAACTCACAATCACACAGTCTAACTTCACTTTTCACTTTTACTTTCACTTTCACTAACTTACTCTCACTAAATTGGTCGCCTATATATATATATATATATATATTCTGCCCGACTGAGATCTAGAACTTTCTACAAACTATGAGAGGTTATTATGTAACAGTACTCAGTTAAAGCAACAAGAAGTATTCAGAAGGTTCGAGTAACATGACGTACATCATTCAGAGCAATTGAATTACACAATAAATAATGAGTAAATAGTTACATAAGCGAAGTTGCCCTAACTATGGCTTCTAAGAAAATAACTTACTTTAACGTTTATAAACTATATAGTACTGTTACGATAGCGGAAGTCACGCGACGCTGGGAGCATGGGCGCTGGAGTTTCTCGAACGCTCATGAATTATCGAGGAACCCCTTGAATGTCCGATTGTTTGCCAGGCGCCCTCTTTTTTTAGTATATAAGCCCGGCAAATAAAGCCAGCGATAGATAGATATGCAGGTAGATGGAAGAGATAGATAATTGAGTCAAGCGAACAGTAGGCGCCGTAAGTAAAGTTTATGAATCACTGTGATTTATAGCGTGTGTTATAAAGGTTGTTAATTTAAATTGACTCCGGAAATTCTGTGTATTACAAAAAGTTGTATCAAGAAAGAATAAACTAGTTTTAGTTAAGAAAGGACTTGTATCGCTGAAGTTCCGCGGAAAGAATTTATACCGGAAATTAACAAACGAGCAGATACGTAACAGTACTCTCGTATTTAACTTAAATGAACAGTCGTGTATATATAACAGTGTTATGTGAAACCTACACAAGTATAGAGCGCATATCTCTGCTACACAGCCTTGATCATATTCGGCTCTCAAAGAAAACGAAAATGTTTTCGTATATCCGTCATTAACAACGGACACTGATAATTTTTGGCAGGATAATGGGGAATAAGATTAATATTCTTCATATTTCAACCAAGTTTAATCAAAATACGATCAATTTTGACTAAGTTATGGAGTAAAAATAGTGTGAGAATCGGTCCCCGTGTAAACAGATAGGGATTTTAGTGATCTTGACCTTGATCCTCCAAAATTTAATCTCTTTATTGTCCAAATGTATGCCAACTTTCGCACAAGTCCATTCAGCCGTTTTCGAAAAATCTTGCTGACTAACATATAAACAAACACCCACAGTCACACAAGGATGAAAACATAACCTTTTCCTACATTCGGTGGCGGAGGTAGTAAAGTGCATCATTTTCCATTTGTTCCTTCACGAAAGAAAAGTTTTTGTTGTTGATTTCGGTTTTGACAATAACATAAACAAACTTCAAAATGCCTGATATATATACATATTTTTTAGTTGAATTAAAACTTATTGTTCAGTAGTCATCTAGACTCGGATTTAACCTACGAAATTTTAGACATCCCGGATGTAATACTACGCTACTTGTTGCTCACAAGATGGCGTTCGTTCAGAAATACAGTTGAATGATCGGGTGTTAAAAAAGTGACAAATTACTTGGTTTAGGCCTAGGTCCTTGAGGTTGAAACAGCATTACAGCACATAATAGTAAGTACAATGCATGAGAAAATGCTACAGTTACAGTTTTTTGTTTTGTATATGGAGGATCTTAGATATTAAACTAAAACTAAATTCGAAAGAAAAGTTGATCTGTGGTAATGCCTGATATAGTATATATATAGTGTTAGAATAGTCTAACACTATATTAGTATATAACTTTTAGTTTTTATGTTTGGCTGTCGAATTAAATATTAGCATACCCAGTCCTAACTCCTGTTGTACTCAACAAGTCCTCTCTTGAATTCTCCCAATCTTGTTGCATATACCACATCTGAAGGCACTCTATTCCAAAGACTAGCCACCCAGTTTGAAAAATAAAATTAGCTAATTTGCAGACGACTTCTATTTTCTGGTACTTATGACCGTTATGTTCTGTACAGTCTAGTCCTAGCACTCTTAGTCTTACGAAAAAAGTGATGTATCAATACTATTATTATTATAAGTTGTATTTATACAAATTATAGTTTATAAGAGTTAACGTTAACATGATGTTATTATTACTTAGTAATTTAGTATTACTATTAGTTAATATATTTTTAATAATATTATAAAGTACGACACGTCAGAGTATCTCTGCACAAAACGTTATAAAATAGGCGTTCATTCAATTACTGAATTAGATATGTAACTAAATACGTACATGTGTAATAATAATATTGACTAATAGTAATAGTAACACATAATTTCACTGACATTTCTAAGTTACACTAGACTTAAATTTTGGTCACTGCATTGGTTATAAGTATTATCTCTTCAGTATAGATTGTGCATAGCAAATCTCAGCATTAACTGTAATTTTGTAGGGTTAAATTGGTTATATCTAATGAAATAATACTAACCCAAGGTTTTACTTAAAGTTAACATTTAGAATTTACCTCATGCCAATTATTCAGTGGTTGCTATTGCAGTTTTGGACAATTTCAACAATTTTAAGTCTCTGCGTAAGAACATGTAAGATGCCATTTAGTTTTTTAAGTTTCATTATGATAACAAACTGCATGTAAAATATATTGATAAATGTAATGTTTCATAATACTGTATTGAACTAAAGTAAAAATGAATGACACGTGTCACATTGAAATTCATCTGCTATTACTTATAAAATTTATCTTCAATCCCTTGGTGAAACAAATTTTATGTAATCAAAATATGGACTATTTATATAAGAAATATGATATTCAGATATGATGATGATACTAAATTCTTGGGTAAAGCAGTTTTATATAAAAATATATCTATAATCCCCTATACTGAGCATTCTATGGGAAATATTGGAATTGACTTGTGTCATTTAGATAGTAAACCATTGATGGAAATAGAAAAGTTGGGATATTAAAAATAGATAAAAGTACCAGAGCCAGACAAGGTTTTCCCCAGAGTTTTAAGGGAAGTCAGAGATCAGATATGCAAGTGGGCAGGTGCCATGGGATTGAAGAGTTGCTAATGCTAGTCCTGTTTTTAAAGGAGGTTTTTAAAAGCTTGCCCTAGAAATTACTGTTCAATTAGTCATACTTCTGTATTGGGAAAAATTCTAACGTGGCTTGTTAAAGAAGCTTTACAAAATCATTCAGTGAAATATAGATGAAAGCCAGCCAAAATCAATTCACCAAAGGGTAATTTTGTCTTCCTAATATATCTTTCTTGAGGAAGTTATTAAGTATAATTTTGATTGGGAATAATCTTAACAGTGTTAAGGTAGAAAAGGGTCTTTGTGTTCTGGTTGATCAGACTCAAGCCATCCAAGCAGTGTCTGCTGTTGCTAATGGTAGAGCAAATAGGAATTTGGGTTGCATTTACAGAAGTATTGAACATACATATAAAGTGGTCATCATTTCATCTTATAGGTCACTGATTAGGCCTCATTTTTAGACATGGACTCTTTACCTTAAGAAAGACAATGAATTATTGAAAAAGATTCAAAAGAAAGCTACCATGATAGTTCCTGGTATGGAAAGGTTGTCTTACAATGACAGTTTAAGATCTTTGAAATTGTCTTCCCTTAAAAAAAAAATAAGAGTTAAGAGGGGATCTGATTAAGGTGTTAAAGATTATTAAGGGAATTGATAATTGTTGATGCATCATCTTATTTTTATGTTCAATGGTGAGAACGGTAAGAGTAGGGGATATAGATATAAATTTTGGCAGTCTAGGAGTCATCTTTAAATTAGACAACTGTACTTTTCTAATAGTGTGGTTGGCCTTTATAATGGATTGCCTTGAGATGTTATGGATGCAGTAAATTTAACTCTGAAACCTGTGTGTTTCAATATGATGGGCCTATTGTATGGATTGTTTTATTTACAGGGATACATTCAACATTTAAACTACTTTATTATCAATGTATTTCATACACTTGGCATAAAAATGTAGTTAATAAGTCAAATTTTAATACTATATAAGCTTTAATTTCAAATGGAAATATTTAATCTTCATGTCTCTGTATCATGTGATGCTTGTTAGTTCTGAATTTCCCACTTAAAATCTTCTTACTACCCCTATATGATATTCTGAGTTTAACATAACTATATATTTATAGTAGAGATATTGCTAAGACATTAATTAATAGCCGCCAATCTTCTTGCTTTTATAAACTAGAAAGTCAAACCCACATGCTACACCCTCCTATCACATTGTCTTTCAAAAAATGACAATAATTCTCTCTGACTTTTGCTATTGGATTATTTATAACCAATTAAAAAGAATATTTCAGTTTACTGATTTCCATGTAAAACGAGCTTGTTCTTACAATAGTTTCATTCATAGATTTATTGTTGCTATTGGCAAAGTTACCTCAGTCACAAAAGATAATTATTTTAATCCATTTATAAATTAGTTAGAAAGCCAATTAAATTATAATTCTTTTAGGTCATTGTATTTTTTTGAATTTTTTATGTATATTTTTTATTTACGGTTATAAAAGTAACTAACATGTAAAAGCTAGAAACCTATTAGGTTAGATAAGAAGATGTAAATTAAAAAATTAATAAATTTCTCAGGCAGGTATGCACTTGTTAGATGATTTATAGCTTTGTCACAGGTTTACTTAGACACAGTTCAAAGGACAATAAAATTAAATAAAAATATGTAAATTGTTTTGAGTTTGAGAATGTTTAGGATCGATAATTGTAATTTTTAGTCACGATCTGCAGTCATTCTATAGAGAAAAAAGGATACTTTAGATTTTATATTTTTCTATGACGGTTACAAGTTCATATAGTGTTAGGGTAGAGAAAATAACAGATAACATATAGTTTTTACTGAAAAAACTTTTAAACTTTTGATATTCATTTAAGAGATTCTAGAAGCTACATAGATGAAAAATGAAAACTGTAAGGTGAAAAATGTTTTTATTCTTAACATGAAAATCACCTTGCTCTCAGACTAATCAGAATCTGAGTGAGACATTAGACTGACTCTGTAAGTAGAAATATGTCCTTAAAAAATTGATTTTTTGTATACAGCAGACTTCTAATGTTTACTAAAATTTGTAAAATGTTGTAATGATACACTTACTACATTAAAAGTTATTGTATGTATAGTTTCATGACTACCTGATAGTTACAAGGTCAGTTAAAATTACTGAGCCTAGATATGGAGAGTTAAGTATCTTAACCTGTCTTCATGTGGCAGCCCTCCTCTCAACTTCTACCAACTCAATGTCCTTAAAGTAAGGAGCCTAAGCCTGAACATAATACTCTAAAGGAGGCTTAACCGGAGATCTGTACAAAACAAAAATGATTTGTATTTAGTATTCCTGTAGATACAACCACAAATCCTTTTTGCTTTCCCACTGGCAACATACTGCGTGGAAGGCTTTAAAAGACTGATAAATCAAAACATAAAGATCCTTTTATTCCATAAAACTATTGAATTTATCATATTGTTTCTGGGAGCATACACCATAATAGATTGAGCATATAACCAAGTATACCATCCTAGCCAACAACATAATTGTCTACATGTAGAATAGTTTTGTAAAATCATTTGTCTGTAAATATAAATGGTACAAGTTATTGTGTACATTTCTCAAGTTTTGGATATAACATTGAAATGCTAGCTGTATAATGCCCATCACAGTTTTGAGAACTGTGACCTTCATTTTTTAAATGACAAAGCTTTTATTTTTCATTGTGCTTCTATTTTCATATATAGAAAGACACAATATCAGAATATATATATGTATATACACACACACACACACACACACACACACATATATATATATATATATATATATATGTATTTACTATGGCAACTCTTCTTAGATCTTGTGGCAACATCTTACCACACTTGACCCAGAGGTTAATCTCCATCAACCCTCTAAAATTGTGGCTCTCATCCTACATCCTAAGATCCAAGTTAGGGGTGCATGAGCTCCTAAATAAGGAATTTGATTAAATGAAAAATTGTCTTATTTGAAAATTTCTTTGACTTACAAAACTTAAGTCAGTATCATGGTTACACTGTAGGATTAGCTTCTGCAGATACCCTGTTTGAGTGTGGTAGTACACAAGATTGTCTTTGGTTCATGAAAATATATATATATATATATATACATAAAAATAGTTATGGTAGACAGTCTTAAATGGGTAAAGAATTATTTAAAAGTTTTTAATGAAATTCCATTGACAATAATTAACATTTAAACAAAATGATGTGTAGCTGTGATTATTTTGAATAGTATATGAAACCTGTAAAATGAATGTTGGAAGTAATTAGGCCTTGTTAACAAACCTACAAAGATGGTGAATCATATTGTACATAACAGTTGCGTGGCTGATACATTCACCACATATTAATTTTCCCTTACAATATTTTTGTATTTTCAAGGTTTTGACATAACTTTTTCCTATGTTAGTAACATGTTTCTGATGTGTATAGTATTTAAAACTAAAATAATTATTTCGTATATATGCACACAGTTGCCTCTGTGCAAAGAGTCAAAGTATGTTTGGGAAGAAGAAGAAAAAGCCCATCATCTCTGCCCCTACAAACTTTGAGCACAGATTTCACACAGGCTTTGACAGACATGAAGGAAAATTTGTAGGCCTTCCACCACAATGGACCAGTTTAATCCAGACTCAACAAGATAGACCAAAACCCATAGTGGACCCATCAACTATAACACCAACTGAAATGATTAACATGAAATCTCACGTAAGTCTGTCAGGTCATGAAAATCAATGGTTTTTATTGGGGTGTTATAGTGAAAAATATGCAGTACTGATCAGCATCAGACTTTGAACTATGTACGTCTGTGTGTGAGTACACAAGTATCATGTGACTATTGTTGGAATGATAGATAAGTTCAAGACTTGCAGAAATCTAAAATCATAAAATTATCTATAGGATAAAGAACATGAACATTTCGATATTTTCCAAATTCCATCTTCATTTTTAGCCTAAGTTTTTCGTCAGTAATATATTGTCTAAAATTTGTTAATAAAATGGGAACAAAAAAAAAGAAATGCAAATCTAAAAGTGTCATAAGCCTAACTACTATGCATGGAATTGTCAAATATTCGCCATTAAAGGCAACCTGTCAGCTTATAACTGATTAGATTGCCTATTATTTATAGAATGATTGATATAGGCTAGGATATTTTGAGCTTCATTACTAAATATTTTGGGGAGAATCTCCTACTTTTAAGGTATAATCAGGATTATATATTGATAAAGTACTATAATGTATTTTATTAATATTATATTGTCCAGTTGCACTCAGATTAGTTTTTTTTTCAAATGGTATTAGAAAATTTAGACTGTATGCCACATTGAAATATAAAGGTTCTGTGAAAAATTTTTTGTTAGGTGGAATTACAGCAGCAAACTGAGAAAACAATGGGATACGTACAAAATTGTGAGTGCATACGATAATACAAGTATGAATCTGCTTTGTTGTCATGGTGATGTTATCGTGTGTTGTCAGCATTCAATCAAGTACAAGTTGACATTGTTCAATCAACAAGTAGAAATAGTATGTTCAATAAATGTTATTTTGATCTGGTTACACATTACAGATGTTATTAACTCCAGCCAAAGCATGGTATTTGGAACAAAGATACGAGGCTTTATCACATATTATTAAACTGAAGTTGAAAAAAGTTAAAGTATACTTAGAGAACTGTAAATTATGAAGAATGTGTTAAACCTTTGTTCAAAAATGTTCAGTCATTTAGAATTTATCTTAATGGCTTGTTTCATTGTATTTCTTTTTGCTTGCTTCAATACATGTTTTAGCAATATCTTAGAGTTTACTGTTATTGTTAGAAAATTTTCTACAGTAGCCATTTCATTTCTTATAAAATATAATAATCAAGACATAAGGGAAAATGTAAGAAAATAACAGTTTCAGAAGAATTTTTGTATTCTGTTTTACACAATTACAGCCAGGAAATTTTAAAAAGGAATCAGAATTGAAAAATCATTCTTCAACCTGGGAACAGTCAGGGAAAACTGTGGTTCCCCCCCTTTTTTATCTCATAATTTGCACATAAATATAAAGCATACTGTGCTGTTATGGTATATTATAACAACCTTCACCAGTTGCTCTTTGCAGAACTTTAAGTATATGTATGTATGTATGTATGTGTGTGTATGTATGTATGTATGTATGTATATATATATATATATATATATATGTATGTATGTATGTATGTGTGTGTGTGTAGATTCTTCTACAGTAGGTGTCTGTGAATTCATGGCAACAAATTCGAACAATAAACTGACAGTATGCACTTCACTTATTTTAAAGTAAAATAGTAAAAACAAAATAAACATATGTACAAGATTTCTTCACACTATAGAGATACAGTTGTATCTTAAACACTATACAGTGCTCTTCTTCTTGTCAAAAGTCCACTTAGGCTAATTCAATTGCTTTAGAAGCCAATTGACAAGCCAAACTATTTTTCTCTACTTTTATCACAATAGTATTGATGAATAATTCACTTTCGTTGCCTCGGGGGTTACCACAGTTGTATCCTGAACTTTCAATCTTTCCATCAAAATCCATACAGGCAGGTTCAATTAGTTTAGAACACCCTTTGACTAGACAAATTATTCTCCTTATCTCTATCAAACTGTTAATCTCACCTTAAGATATCTACCATTCACTCACACTATGGCTAATTTGACATTTTCTAACTTTTCTCTTACTGAACTTCCCTTTCATTTGACTTTACTTTCTCTCTTCTCCCGCTTGTTTGGTTGCTGCTATTTATGTTTATCACTGAAGCCTCTAGAAATTTCTATAGTCTCAACATCAATGAATTGCAAACACAATGTACGATAGCCTAAACATCATTTAATTACAAACACAACGTATAACTTTCACTGAGTTACATAACCAAACTTGTCATAATTATCACCTTCAAAATAATTGCTTTTAACTCTCTTGTTATGAAAAACTAAAAATCGTGAAATATTAATGTTCTTTCATTAATATAAAAATGCAAAATTCTATCTACCATCAAGCTGCAGCATCTCTGTTTGAAGATATCTATAATAATAATAATACCATAATATGAACTATTTTTGGAAATTTTCATTTATAGCCACATTACAACAAAAGGGATGTTAATTAGATAGAATTATCAGGAAGAGTCGAAATATCAGTGCCATATATGCATGTGTGGAGGTTTGGAAAATTTGAAATTTTGCTTGAAAAGTTAGGGGGAGAATGTGGAAGAAATGTGGCCATCCTGACTGTTTCTGATTCTTGAGAAATGAGTTAGTATGATACCAAGATGTTTTTCAAAAGTTTGACAAAGCATAAGTAATTCTTCAGAGTTTAGAAACTACATGCTCTTATATACCCAATACATCAGTGAATGTGGGATGTAGTACTTCAGCCAGGCTTACTGATAAAAGTCAGTAAGTTAACTCAGAATACATACTTCTCTGTAGAACAGCAGTTCTCTCTATTTAGAAATCACACTGATATTATGATTACTGAACATCTATAAATGTAAAATGTATGTAGCTTAATATTCTTCTGTTTATAGACCATTGTTCGAGGTGGAAGCTCTTCTCAAATCAGAAATGGGCCAGTTTCAATCACACGATCCAACTCGCTAAGGAAAGAAAGCCCTCCTCAACCTCGACGGGACTATTTAAGTCGCCTCCCTCCCCCAGTACCTGAAGATGAAAGTATGCTACCTGTGCAATCTCATGAGGTCCCTCCTCATGTTCACCAAATTCATCATGATTCTCATATCCATCCACACTCACACCCCCAGTTTCACCCTGGCCAACTACAGTGGGGACATGGCCATCCAGTAAACTTTTATTCAGAGAATCAGGGAAATCATATGGGTGGTAGCCACTCCTATCTACAGAATGCAAGAGAACATGCTCCTTCTCAAGGCTCTGTTCCCTCTTGGGACAGAACTGATGGTGGAGATAATAGTATGCTTCCTGGTGTCCAGTTAGGTAGGGAACAAGAAAAAAGCCCTGCACCAACTAGTCTGCCAGGTTATACCTCTAAATCAGGTCTCATGATTGATAACCAGAGTTGTCTACAGTCACAAAGCTACCAAGAGCAACACCCATCCATGAATCCTAACTTTCAAACAGGTAATCATCATGGACCCATGCTTCCATCGCTTATCTCCAATGGTGTCCCTTTGTCAAGTCCACTTGAACCTCCTGTCATGGAAAAACAGTACAGGGATTCTCAATCATCATCAGGTTCAACCCAGCATTCTGGAAACCGTAGTGGTTCTCATAGCCCTATTTTGAAGAACAGCATGTCTCAGAACCACTTAAACCATCCAAGAGACTTAAAATCCTCAAAAATGTAAAGAATGAAAGAACAAGAGTAAGTTCTGTTATTAATATATTTTACATGTAGAATGTTCAGACATCATTATATATATATATATATATATATATAGTGCTTGTATGACAATGTTTAATATCAAATGTTTCAGTAACTTTGGAAATTATTCACTTTTATTTATTAAAGGGAGTGTTACTTTATCAAAGTGAATAATAGTGTGTTCTTTATTAGGTTTGTCTTGTTCTAAGAAATTTTAAGAACAGGTGATGTATTTAAAATGTAGTTTTAGAAAATGGTAGACCATATGTGTGTTTAATGGACCTGATAAAGATCTTCACTAAACAAATTATCATAGATGAATGAATCTTGTTATTCTATTCTAAATTAATATGATGTAACAGTTAAACAAACAATCATAAATCACTAGTAAAAAATACACATTTTTAGTATAGGCTAGATAACAAAAGAGTATTCATAAAAAGCAATTCTTCTCTTTAAGTCTGGAATATCACCTGTTTAATATCTAGTGGATTGTTAATAGTAACTTACTTTTGTCATGTGCAGTAATATTTTACTCAAAATATCATCATTCCTCATACAAGTATGGCTATTTCTTTCAGGATCTTTCTCCAAAACCACCTGTCTCAGTACCGAAAAACAAAGTTATGAGTCCCATGTTGGCTAGTAATGGTCATCATCCAAAGTCAGCTATTCCTGGCCATGATCATCACTCCAAGTTGACTGTCCCTAGCCATGGTCATCACCCTAAGTCAGCTGCCCCTAGCCACGGTCATCATCCAGAACATAACCCCAAGTCAACTGTCACTAGAGACAGTCATCACCCCGAACAACACTCTAAGTCTGTTGTCTCTGGCCATGGTCATCCTCCAGAACAAAACCTTAAGTCTGCTGGCCATGGTCATCATCCAGGACAATACTCTAAGTCTGCTGTCCCTGGCCATGGTCATCATCCAGAACAACACCCTAAGTCTGCTGTCCCTGGCCATCACACAGAACAACACCATAAGTCTGCTGTTCCTGGCCAAAGTCATCATCCAGAACAACAAAGATTATCACATGAGCAGGTACTGCATATCTCACTGACTGGCTGAGACAGTAATTAATCTAAGTTCAATTTTTTTATATATATATATAGAATCTGTAAAACAAATTTTAATGTTGGTATGTAGAAGAGACTACATTTGTTGGTTGTATGTTTATTCCACAAAATTAATAAGGCATTTTAAACCTTTATTAAAGGTAGTGATACAAAGTTCCATTATCATGGTAAGTAATCTAGAGTATATTTCTATGAAATAATGGAGCATGAAATATATCTAAAACATAGCCCTAGGAAATATTAAAACAATGTATTTTGAGATATCTCACCTCTACACACACACACACACACACACACAGAACAGCTTGACTCCTCACACATCTGTGTATGAGATTTGCATGCCACTAGCCTTGTGCTAACTCCCATCTAAAAATCACATGCTTAATGAACAGCACTTGTGCATGATGACATTATGCTACGATAGCCCTCAAACAATAGGACAACTACACAAACTCCTTGCGCAGTAATTTCCCCCAAGTACTTGAACCCAAAATAACCATCTTTTTCTTGGCATTGTCTCAAATGGACATGGTTTTAAAGTTATAAAGGAATTACATGAGATTTGCAAAAGTATACAAAAATTTTCTTACTTACCTGACATTATCAATTCTCAAATGATGGTAACTTCTGCTTTGTACCGTGATAGTGATGAGGTTCCTTAGACAGGACCTGTGTCTACTAAGATCTTTTTGTCTGGAAGACATGAAACTATTGTTCAACATGTTGTATGTACCTTCATGCACACTGAGCCTCCTTTTCTCATCCTGTTGGCTGACCTTCCTTTTCTCTAATTTGAATATGATCAGGATGATGATTTGATCAGCTGTTTCCCCCACCAGTGTTTGCTCTAGGCACAGCTTTATCTGTGGAGAACAATCCTCACCCTTCTAAATCTCTTCCTTGACATCATTTTTTTCTTTCCCATTTGTCTTTTGATTCCTCCCTTGCTTTCCTTCCTGAAACCTGTATTCAAAACCTCTTTTTCTTCTCTCCTGCACCTGATCTTAGGGCCCATGTAGATTCATTGCTTATCCCTTTTGTTTTGGGCTGATACATTTTGTATCACCTCGACTGGAGAAGGACATTTCTGCAAAAATATAAAGTAACTCTGAGCATTCCTCACAAAACCTCTTAAGATTTTGTTAAAGTTTATAAGTATTTTGTACACAAAGAATGATATTATTTTAGTTGCATTTAAAATGTAATTAACCACTTTACTATCATTTTATAAATATAAAATTAACATTATATTAGCTAAGTTATTGAAGTTTTAACTACTTTGTTTCAAAGGAAACCTTTCAAAAAATACTTAAATTGCAGTTTTTGTGTCACATGATCCACATGCTTTATTAGCTTCATTTCTTTCTCCGAGACACAAGCTGACATGAACAGGTGGTTCTACACACTAAGTACATGTGTTTGATCTAATTTTTATGTGAGATCTAAAGTTTGCAAGCTGGATTGTCTGGGAAACAGATGTAAATTTTCCAACCATTGATGGTTGCCATGCCCACCTTCTATGCTTTGCCTTGAAATCTACAACTTACATGTAGTTATTTGACACAAGTGTATATAATCGTTAGAAAGAGCTCAGTTGACACTATACTCTCCCAATGGTTAATCTGAAATTGGCATACAGTTTTCCTTACAGTGTACATGTAACTGTCATTCGTATTGTTGTATTCCTGATTGACAAAAGCATTTCAAGTGGCTTCTTACTTAAATTTGCTATAGCTAGAGCCAGTTAAACTATTTAGGTCTTACTTTTATATTTTAGTGAATTATGTATTATTTTTATTTTAAAATTCATATTTGTATGGTTTAATGATTTTAATAAGTTTAACTTGTCAACTGGACTTTGAAAGGTTATAAACAAGATGGTGTGTTTAAGTGCCATCTTGTTTTAGCAATGCGTCTCTGTGGGAAATCTGCTGAAATAACTTCATAAAGCCCCATGGGAATCAATTATTATTAGTATGGGCATAAATGATAACTGATGAAGAATTTGATAGGGAAATTAAAAATATACTATAAGTGCAAAGATAGAGACTTGAAATTGTGTATATCAGAAAAATACAAAGAGTTGAAAGGTATGTACATATTTCCATTTGTTAATTTTAAACATTTCATTGCACTGTATGTTGATGATAATAGATACAGTTAGTGATATAGTAGAGAAAATGGAAAATAAAATATAAATATTTACCTTAAAAAACTTCTAATATTCATTTATGAGGCCCTAGAGATTATACAAATTAAATGTGAAAACTGTAAGATTAAAAATAATATTTTTATACACCATATAGAAATTACCTTGCAGGTGAATTATTAAAAGTGAATACAAATAACTACATTAAATAACGAGTTTTTTATTAGACATAATAAAAAAATCAAAATTAAGTGTTTTTTTCTGAAATTACATATTTTTAAGAATATTCTTGTCAAAATTTAAACAATTTCATTGCTAGTTTTATTTATGGAACAAAATATGACAAGAGCAATGTTGTCTACTAAAAAAGTAGTAGCAGATAGTCATAGGGTTAAACTGTATCTACAACTATAACATATTTAGGTACGAGCAGCCAACAATACTAAAGTTAGTTACATGTACTCCATGATGTCAACTATGAGCAACGTTCAAAATAATCATTGTTAGATTATAGTGTAAAATGAGCTCTTTCTAATGACTGTACACATGTGTATCTAACATCTACAATTAGGCTACAAAGCTCAAACAAATTGTTGAAGGTGGGCATGGAACCTGTCAGGGGTTGATAAAATTTATTGCTTTTTTCAACTGCATTGATTCAGAGAATTTTGAAATGTATGAGTCAAAAGGTTATGTAAGCATCTTATACATCTATGCAACTGCCATTATATTATTGAAGATACAGAATGGCAAAGTAGAGAATTTTCATAGTCTGTTAGTCATGTAACAATACATCTGAAGTTTTAAGTAGTTTTTAAAGGTTTCTTTAGAAATAAAGGACTTAAACTTAGATAATGTGAAACTTTGAATCATAACATACATTATAATGTTAATTTAATTCACATAAATTGATAGTAAAGGTGTTTAATTAAATTTTGAATGTAACTCAGTGTAAACAGCTGCACACCCATACTAACATGTCTCATCTTCCTGTTTACTTAACTCTCATTCTTTATTTCCATTTCTTGTATCCCAGTCTTTGGGATCTCTCTTATCTGATTGGGGTGTACCCTTTAACTTCTACTTCCCTTTCTATTGCTCAGTTTAGTTTTTGTATTTATGTCTCTTTCTTTCCACCCTCCTGTGTTACCTCTCATCACTTCACCTGCAACACTTCATTATGCTCTAGGGTTTGTTTGTTTTTTTATCACATTAGCCTGTACTTTTTTCTGCTCCTTCCTTCCTTACTTGATTCCTCTGATGATGGGATGAGATCCTCCATCATCTTCATTGGACTCCATTTCATTGCCCAAAGGTCTTTGGAGAACTCAAGCTGAGGTGGCCTGGCATCAGTCCTCATTATTTGTTATCATTTCTCATCTTTATATACTTTGCCATTCTATTCCTAGGTTTGCTGAATCCACTTTTTCCTTTCCCATTCCAGCTTCCTACCCTTCTTCTACTTCCTGATGTAAAGCTTGTTGCACATCTCGTCAGTGACTACATTGTCAGTCTGGCCTTGTTGCTGGCCCATTTGTCTCTGATCATCAGCCTTTGGTGTCCATTTTTGCACAACAGAAGGGCTCTTCATGTTCTCGTCCACAGCCTATCTCTCCACTTTACTTCTTCTATTTCCTTTTCTTCTCCCTCTCTTTCCCTTTATCTTCCATATCTTGACAATGTGCTCTCAGATCCCTTGGCCAAGAACAACATCCAGAAGGTATTTACCCTTAAACCTAGTTATTACTATAATCTTTTTTGTGGTCCCCAAGAAGACTGGCATACGGTTATCAACATGGTGTCTCTCCACTGGTTTCTTATCATTCCTTGGTTCTGTATAGAGGGATTCTTTTCTCTCCAGTGGTTCTTTCCACTCAGACAGTGAATGACCAAGGTTGACATTTCAGACACACTTTTAATATTCTGATCACCCTGTCCTCCAGACATATTATTAACTTCACCCATCAAAATTGGGTCTTCCAGTTTTATGCTCTTCCTTCAGACATTGCATCTGTTCCTTTATGTCTTTTATCAAGTCATGAGGCATTTGCCTGTCTTGTTCATGGGTTGGGGCTGAGGTTCAATTATTAAATGAATGATAAGTGACTCCTTGCTCCTTGTTGGGAGGACTCATTCTCTTACACCTGTATTCTTCTGTAGTAGGCTGCTTGGTTTGGCTGGCTAATCAAGACTTCCAGGACTTTTCTTATGCCCTCCCCATATTTGGTACATTTGGGCATGTTCAACTCCCATCACAGTCTAGTTCAGCCTTCACCACTTTGCTTATATGCAATAGAATGTCTTGTCACCAAGATTTGGGCCTCTATTTTACACCCTGTGCATAAGGTAATTTTTCTTTTGGGAACTTTGACTTACCTCAAACCATTCATTTCTTTAGGCCGCACATACATGCACCTCCTCCAGTGGAACCTTTCTTGGGATTGATATTCTTGATTGTGCATCTCCCCTTTCCTGTTCTCAAGGACTTATCTTGATAGTTTGACCATGCCAACACCATGGTAGGCATTTCCTTGCTGCCCCTAGACCAGATCTCTATCTCTTTACAGGTGCTTGCTTCTCTGTTGGGTAGGGCATGTCTCTGAATGACAACATGACTTAGGGCATGTGGGCTCTGTAGCTTCACATCAGTTTCCTTGAACTTCTCACCATCTGTCAGGCAAGTTCCCATTTGCCCTCTTCTTGTGGTCCACTCCAACAATTCCATCGTCATTTATTATATCAACTGTCAAAGAGGTACCCATTTCAGGACTCTGCTTCCATGCATTGGACCTGCTATTTTGGGATCATCTCACAGCTTGTCATGTGCCAGAGCTCTGAACTTGGTTGTGGATCACCTCTATTGGCCAGACAGGGTTCTTTTCATGGAATGGTCTCTGCACCCTCAGGCTTTTTGTTGGGTTCATTATCAGTTGGGCATCCCTCTCAATACCAAACTACTTGCCCAAATCAGGCTCATTTTTTGTTATTTATTCTGAGCATTCTGCAACCATTAATATTGAGTCTTGACTTTTTTTTATCTAGCAAATATAAGCTCTTCTGAGAATTTTACATTATTTTGAGTTTTGGAGCATTACCAGGTCACACATAGAAAATTGTACTGGTAGGTAAATTACTTCTAGCTGTATACGGCTCAGTCTTTATAACTATAAGTATCATGTTATCCCACATTATTTTTGATAGAATTAGGACACCTTTTCATTGTTTGGAGATTTAAAAAACAAAATTCTATTCTAAGTTTTCAACATTTTTTTTCTTTCCAACTCAACTTAATTTGTTATTACTATTCCTGCAGACCATGCACAATTCTGAGCTTATAACCAATTTGGATCAATGTGTTAGATTGTTATATCTAAAGTTTTATTCCTGCATAGTTCCGAGCAGCTTTGCAGATGGTTGTAAGTCCAGGAGATCCAAGAGAAGACCTGGAAAATTTTATCAAGATAGGAGAAGGTTCAACTGGCATTGTGTGCATTGCTACCGAGAAATCTAGCAACAGGCAAGTGGCAGTGAAGAAAATGGACCTTCGCAAACAGCAAAGAAGGGAGCTCTTGTTCAATGAGGTAAAGTGTTAAATAATTGATTAAGTTAAGCAAAGCATCAAAAAAGTTAATGTAGAATGTCTTTTAAGTTATTCAAGAAGAACTTAGCTGTGAGAAGTCAAAGTTAGAACTTAACAACAAGGACTGGTTTTTAATGAGAAATAAATAAAGAAATCTGGTGCAAAAGTTGCTTTAAAATGTCAGAAATTATCTGTTTTATAGCATTTTTTTTTTTTTATAATCCATAATCTTTTTAGTTTAAATCTGCATTTTCACCGGAGGTCAAATTTTTAGGTTTTATTTATATTTTTATGAAGCATTATAGTAAGCAAATAATATTATTAGTTAATACGAGGAAATAAATAATATTAAAAATTAAACTTAGATAATAGTTGGACTGTTGAATACATGAAGAAACAAAAAGAGAGTAATACGAGAATAGAGCACTTGTATTTGAATATTTATCCAGATGCATAAGGTGTAAAAGACAGCTACATGTGTGCATAAAGTAGGGTGAGAACAAACCAATGTCTAGAGCTGGGCAAGTTAATTGATTATCTACAAGCAATGATTACATTGATTAATTGAAATTAGAAGTAATTGGTGAATGTCACATAAATAATCAAATAATGGAAATTTAGTGTTTCCAATTATTACTGTTTTAGGTTATTCTAACAATCAATCTAGATTACAGTTACAATGATTGTCACAAAATAATCAACCATTCAAAATTAATTGTTCCAATTATTACTCATTTTTTTGATTATTCCAACAACCAGTTAATCAAAGTATTCCCATTATATTTGTTTGTTGTTAAGCACAAAGCTACATAATGGATTTAGGTGCCTCATTATTTGTGGGTTTTATGTTTAATTCCCATTGCCACTAAACTTGGTAATCCTGTTTTTGTTATTGCAAATCTGTTAAGGCTATCTGTCGCTGTTATTAACTTGAGCTGTAGCCTACAGAGAAGGCAACTGGCGGGCAGCACCCAATGCTACCTTTTTGGCTTCCTAAGTATTAAATAAAGTGAAAATTTACTGGTTTTATACATTGTTTCTAATTTATAACTGTGCAACTGTATTATATTCTTTAATGTTGTATAAGCAGGCAGGGATCTACAGGAGAGCTCTAGGGGGAGCCAACCTCCCCTCCACCCATTTTTTTTCAGACATTAATAAAAAAAAACAGCCAGGTATCCTTATACTACCATATAGTGTCAAAAAAGAAACATAAGAGGTCAATATTTTTATTTGATTGGGCTATCGATTATCATAAAAGTTTTTTTGGGTTTTTTGAAATCAACACAGCTGGAGTCTACAGCAATCCAGTTAAGTCCTCAACCAATAGCTCATTATCTATAGGCAAATACAGGAGTATGAATGTCAATTAACCATTGCCATGGTAAATGTTTGAGCCTTGACTTTTTCTAGACATGGAAAATGTGTCTAAGCATTAAAGATTTGTTTTTATGAGAGTAGTATTCTTTAGAATACCTGCAGTGCAGGTTACAAAATCAGTTTTTAATGTAAAAGTTAAAATTCTCTTGATAAATATGTTTTTGATATTGGTGATGTCTAAAATAAGTGAAAATGCAAGTGGTATAAGTGTGTAAAGAACAGTTTTTAAAAAATTTTTAAAGGGACATCCTGTTTACAAATGTTATTTTTTCCTAAATATGTTTGCAAATATTTATAGCTATCTAATTTTGCTTAAAAAATGCTTTTTTTAACTGTTATATTTTCATATCAATCGTATTAAATTATAAGTCATTTACAAAATATATTAACATTATTTTAACTTTGGTTATCTTATTTAGGTTTCTTTAGGACTATATTGTCAACACTGATTAATCCAGAATACTCTATTAATATAATGGAAGTCTCTTCTTTCTTGTAAAAAAAAAACTGAAAATTTGGTTAGTGTTACACAACAACTGATTTTTCAAAGGTTGATTGTTATCATGTCATCATTGTAACAATGCAACCTTACAACAACTAATACAGAGAACTTAAAACATTGTTGCTTGTTAACACAATAATACAATATTATCTGATTAGACTTTTGTAGTTTTATTCATATTCATTCCCTAATGGTTTTCAAATTGTGTAAGATAAAGTATTTAAAACACATCACAATTGCAGTTAGAAAATATTAAGTAGTCAGTTAGCAAATTTATTTATGTATGTCAGTTGAATAGGATAAACATAAAAATAATATTCAATAAAGATTTTAGGCAGCAAACTATTTTGTAGTCGCCTACCATTCTCACTATACAGCAAACTTAACTAAACTTATCTGATTTGATGATTATTTTATTTTATTTGGTTAACATAAAAAAGCTCATTGCTAAAAACATTGCAACTCAATAAAACTATGATATAAGAAGTAAAAACGTCATAATTTTAACCCTGCATTAGTCTTCTGGGGTCTTTATGGACCCCACATATATTGTAAACATTGGCATCGACAAGTGGAAGCACGTACATGTTTGTTGTTCTCAGTAGCTTCAGTAATCAGCTAGCTTGTGTTAAACTGTTACACTTAGTTTTGGTGGTAAAAAAGAAACAAGTTATAATATTCAATGTCATTTATTGATTAATAAAGGAAAATGTTTTGAATATTAGTGTTTTTTGTTTTGAAAATAATAGTTTATTATTATTTAAATATTTTTAAGTTAGTTTTTACGATGAGGTTGCTCAGCCCCTGGGAGAGTGACTATGCAAAAGTTTTACAGAAGACTGACACAGGATTAAACAAAGAGCCAAACATCAACAAAACACCTTTATTAAGCTTTAAGCAATCTTCAGTTATGTGACTCCTTTGTTTCATACTATATATATATATATTCCTGTGTCTTAAACCTCATGACAAAATCTTCTCCAATCATTGTACACATATTATGGCATTAAACTTCTAATAGTTTCCTTTCTTACCCATTCAGTCTGTCTCTAAACTCTTTAAGCTTTACCCACCTTATCTCAAATTATATGATGTCTTCTTATTGAAAACAATCTCAGTAGCTTTCAAACATATATAATTTAACTCATAGAAATACTTTCACAATTCACAAGCAATAGTTTAAAAATACAGATCTTAAACCTATATATGTATTGTACTGGTATGTGATAATCTAATTCCTGTTCTATCCATCATTTTTTAATTTTCTATATAGCTGTTTTCAAAGCTGTGTTTCATTAATAAATGATCAAATCACTTGATGTGGCATCATAACAAGGTTTCAACCAACCTGTACACAAACTAACAGAAATATATGAAAATCAAGAAAAGGGTAATGAATTTCAAGTGATGAACAAGTAAAAGGTTATTTTTTGTGATGGGCAATAAAATTTGAAAATAAATTGACAATACTGCTTGGAAGAGCAAACCAGAGATACAGTAAACCTCCACATAATGGTGGGATGCAAATCATATGTAGGATTTAATATGAAGGATCATACATTAAATCTTACAACTTGCTCTGTAACTCTAAGTTAGAATGATCTCCCATACTTTGTTTCTTTTATTACTGATACAGGTTTCTGTTTATTTGGAAGTGGCAAACACATGTATATGTGAATAATATACATACCAGTGTATAGCATGCATATTTGGTACTTATGGTTATTATTTTGAATGCAGTTATGCATCTGGAGCACTGACCATATAGTTTGTAGTTACTAAGAAGGAGAATAAATTCAAACCATTGACTGAAGATATTTATCTTTATATAGTATGTTATCAGATGTTAAAAAAGACTGAGACATGAATTTATTTTTGGTTTCACATGTTTAAGTTGCTCAGTTGTCAGTTGTGATATTGTTAACTGCAGGTAGTGATAATGCGAGATTATCATCATCCAAACATAGTGGAGATGTACAACAGTTTCCTCGTGGGTGATGAACTCTGGGTTGTTATGGAATTTCTGGAAGGAGGAGCCCTGACAGATATTGTAACTCATGCAAGGTAAGAAAATGTATAAGTTATGTAAGGTAAGAAAACATGTAACACACAAGAAAAGCAAACTTAAACCATACAAGGTTATAAAATGGTATTTTCTAATAGGGACGTAATAGGTTTACAGAAACAAAAATACTTTTTTGCAATGTAAAAATCTCCTTTACAGTTATTATATTTTCCAACAGTTAATATTCCTACCATCCACATTAAGGGATTGAGTGTCACCTATAATGCACCCAGTGCACAAAGTTCGGGGATTATTTTATGGTATCTCACAGATTCAAACCTAATTCACCTGCTCTGAAATACCGACACCTAACATAGGATCAACTTACATCCTTTGAAATGTTTCAGTAGTTATTTCAAAAAAAGGTAACCATGATACAATTGTTGCATACTGAAGTTAAATGTCTTCTTAGGAAACTTTTGTTGAAATTTCTTAAGCCAGAGTGAGTTGTTGCTAATAATTGATCTTCATTGGTAGACATAGGCAAGACTGCTAAAAAGTTGCATACGAAAAGCAGTACTGTTTAAGTAAAAATTAAGACCTATCACTCGGTTATGAAATATGGTAGTTCAAAGAGAAAAATATTTCTCTATATTGGATGTGTGCATGTTGTCTGTCTCTAACATGTAGAAGAAACTTCCATTGGAAAATCCTGTTCTTCAACAGCTATAAAGTTTCACCTGTTATTCAGGTCACAAACAATTATAAAGGTTAATCTGAAGATGCATCTTTCCTAATATGAGAGAAACTGTTGTCAGCAAAATATATGTATATATATTCAGTATTCTCTGCATAGAGTAGTTTGCATAGAAAAATGAAGTAAATGGTGTCATTTGGAATTGAGTTGGTCATTATTATAACAATATTATGAAACTTGATGAAAATGGAAGAAACAAGGATTAGCCCAAAGTTTGCTTGGTTTTTTCTCATAGTTTGGTGGATGTAGAAAGAAGATTTAGTGTAAATGAAATATGTAGCTACAAACTAAAAAAGCACCACTGGCAAAAAGAAAAAGTTGTAGCTTTGTTTATTATAAAATATACTGAGACTATATTATTTTTCAGTGGCAAAATAATGCTAGCTTTCTTGCTTCAGAGACTGGCTACTTCAACTCACTCCGGCCCGGCATAGCGCTCATTTCGCAATTTGCGGGTCGCGGGTTTGAATCCCCGTCACACCAAACATGCTCGCCCTATCAGCGAGGGGGCATTATAATGTGATGATCAATCCCACTACTCGTTGGTAAACGAGTAGTTCAAGAGTTGGAGGTGGGTGGTGATGACTAGCTGCCTTCCCTCTAGTCTTACACTGACAAAATAGGGATGGCTAGCGTAGATAGCCCTTGTGTAGCTTTGCACAAAATTAGAAAACAAATAAACAAAAACAAACAATCAACTCACTCCCCGAGCAAGTATTAGGAAGGCATCCGTTCTACTTCAAATTACACCATGAGTCAACCAGATGGTAGGAAAGCATCCATGCTACACAGATACTGCCTACTTCAAATCATACTAATTCAATCATGATAAAATGTGAAAAAAGAGAGAAAACCTTTATACCTGAGAAAGCACAAGAGTAAATAGCTTGATTAGTGTAACCAACAAAAAAGTCTTCATGAAGCCATTCAAGAGAAAAAGGTTGGCAGTAGCAAAATTTGCTTAGACAAGTTGTTGAAAGAGTAAGAGGTTCTTAACTCTTTTACTCTGTGAAGAAATAATATTCCATTTCAAACTTCCTAAAATTACCCATGTCAAGTTTCAGATCATAAGTATAAAAATAAATGTGGCATTGAAAGGAAAAGAAAACTGTGAACTTCCTAAAGTTACTCGTGTCAAGTTTCAGATCATAAGTATAAAAATAAATGTGGCATTGAAAGGAAAAGAAAACTGTGAACTTCCTAAAGTTACTCGTGTCAAGTTTCAGATCATAACTATAAAAATAAATGTGGCATTGAAAGGAAAAGAAAACTAATGAATTGTCTGGTTAATCTGCTGATAAAGAGGAGCAAGAAACAGTAATGTTTATGATTTTGTATTTTTTTCACACATTTCCCATATGTACATGTTCTCAGTCACATTGCACTTCTAAGCCTAAAACAAAAATATCATAGCTTCATGGATTAATGTATGTTTACTCAAATTTCTATATTTTTAAAGCAAATTTAAGTTTCAGCCCAATATGAGCTGCAGGATGGTGGGTTATAAAACATGAGAAATTGTGTGTAATGAAACATCTTTTTTAATAAGTTTCCTTTACTTTTCCCTTGATTGGTTGAAGGCCTGTATGAAAGATTGAATTGTATAAGATGCAATCATATTTTCAGTTAGCATGAGATGAATATTTCATCTATTCAGATGTGTGCTGTCAGTGTTTTAAATTTTGTTGTTTATTTATTAGGCTGGTCAGCCATAAATTTATTCACTCTTTAAGGCATAGATCTAACTACCCTGGTTGATTTAAGTTGAGCTTTGTGCATATGTATGGCACATCTGTTGAGTTTTAAAGAGTAGCTTATTCTGCATTTCATAAAGTATTCTATGAATATTTTATCTCTTATTGATTTTAATATTCTTTCATGATTAGTATTTGATTTTGTAAGGTAAAGGTAGGTGGCTATATAGTATAATTCTTATATTACAAAAATCTTCATTTGTAAAATTTTTTTTTTATTACACTTGACAGAGTATAGTATGTTGTATAGCATAGACTGTTGGTAAATTGCATAGTTAGTTTAAATGAAAATTTCATATTTGGTTGTGTATAATTAACCATGTATTTCTGGCATCATTACCAGATGGTTTGGAAAATTTCTTGAATGAAATTATGTCTGCATTTTATGAAGTGTGTAATCTGGCTACTAAACCTTAAAGTAACTCTGTAGTACATTTTTTGTGAAATAGTGTTCTACCAGATTTGATTTAGTTATGTTTGGTTTTCAGTGCAATGTCTTGGGTAGGTCAGTTTGAGTAACATTCTAATATATATAACAGTTACTAATTGCATTCACATGTATGAAAAAATTTGGTGTAAATCTGATGAGCTTATAAAAATTGAAACTTATAAGTTACACTTACTCTTCATATTTGAAGCTTTTATACCCATAGCTTAACTTACGTACTATGAAGATATTTGTATTTTGTACATTTGTCAAAAACCACAGCTTTTAGATTGTTTTTTCTTTCTTTCTTGGAGCTTTTGTGAAAGTAAAATAGATGTGTTGTTTTGGTAGGTCACCCGTTAAAGCTGTTCTTGATAGCCTAAACATGTTTTTTGTGAAAGTAGATTAGCTGTGTTGTTTTGGTAGGTTACCCATTAAAGCTATTCTTGATGGCCTAAACACATTTTTTTTTTCCTATTGTCTGTCATTGATCTTTCTAGAGACCATATTAATTTTAATAGAATACAGGTAAACTTTTCTCAGAATTCTGTATGTTTGGTCAAGGTTGATAATTTGGTTACTGTTAAGTTTTAATGATTAGAGAAATGGCCAGTTATAGTTTCTAAGCATGTACTACTGTTTGTTTTCTAGTGAATCTTTGTAAGTGTAATCTAATACTTCTGGTTTGGTCTTGTCTTTTTCTAGAATGGATGAAGAACAGATTGCAACTGTTTGTAACCAGTGTCTGAAAGCTCTTGCTTTTCTTCACTCTCAAGGTGTCATCCACCGAGACATTAAGAGTGATTCTATCTTACTAGCTAGTGATGGGAGGGTGAGTTACCAACTTGTGGTATACCGTAAGTCTGTGACTAACCATATACAGTTAAATTTCTAGTTGTCATCTTCAAGTCATAGCAGATGATACCTGTGGTAATAGCTCCCAAATGCATTGGAGATATCTCATCTGTCAGACAAAATCCAAATGCTGATATTAAATTAGTCAGCATATGTGGAAAATTAATTAGGTTATGGATTTGAGTGCGTACACCCACAATGTCTCAACTCCTACTGCCTTTCACTGTCTGCAGCCAGTTGTGAGAAGGCAGTTACCCTTAAGAGTTCATATAGTTCTTAAAGTAGAAATGAAAATTTCTACTGTGTGAAACTTCCAACCTCTGCCCTTACAGAAGAAATTAAATAAAACTAAATTATCTTAAATAGAACTACAAACCCTACCTTAATAGTTTTTATGCAATTCATACATTCCCAAGCTTCTCATTTTCTCTTGAAAATTTATTCATGTGTAACTCAGGAAAGTCGAGCTACTTGAAGTTAGTCTTTCCATCCCGGTATACTGAATAAAATTATAATATTAAAGTTAGCTACTTGTAAACTAAAAGTAGCTAATGACCTCTAGTGACACAAAAAAGTATTTTCTCTGATTGAAAGTTTATTTTTTTAACATATTTTCATGTTTATTATAAAACAGTGTAGGAGTTGAGACATTGTGGGTGTAAGCACTCATCTCCATACCCTCAACTGATTTTCCATGTTTGCTGGCTAGTTTAACATCAGCGTTTGGATTTTATCAGATAGATGGGAGCTATTACCCCAGGCATTATCTGTTATGACTTTAAGGTGACAACTAGGACTGACAATTGGAACTCTACCCAGAGGATAACAGTCTTCCACCACTTTCTCAATACATCACAAGGCAGAAATTAACTAGCAAATGTTTAAAAGTATTAACTTGTCTATTTGAGAAATTATATATGCATAACGAAATAAGTAGCTTCAATACTATTAATTACATTAATTGTTAATAGATAATTGCAACCAGCACTATGAAACAATAATGAACTTGATACAAAATAAGCATTAAAAAGAATTTATGTTTTGGGTTGGGCAGGAAACTGAGAAGTCTATTGTTTACAGAAAAGACTCCTTAGAGCTGTGCAGAAATATAAGTTTAACATTTTCTATATGTTTCTTTGTGAATTACTCTATATAAGCACTACAAAATGTCAATTCTAAAATATGTTGAGAGAAAAAACTGTTGAAATAGTACGTTCTTACTTAAATTTTAAAAATTATGGAGATATCCACTTGACATCTGAAAAGTGTTCATTTGTCATGATAAGGTTAAATCAAAATGGTTAAGAAAATTATAAAAACCCAATAAAAATATTTTTGTGATTAAATAATAACTAATACAGAAAAGACTCCTTAGAGCTGTGCAGAAATATAAATTTAACAAGTAAAATCCTATGTTTTGGGTTGGGCAGGGAACTGAGAAGTCCATTGTTTACAGAAAAGACTCCTTAGAGCTCTGCAGAAATATAAATTTAACAAGTAAAATCCTAAACAATGGACTTCTCAGTTCCCTGCCCAGTCCAAAACATAGGATTTTGTTTGTTAAGAAACTATCTTCCCCTGAGAATACAATTAACCAAATCTTATTTTTCTCAATTTTCTGACAATTTATTATACAGGCTTCTGTTTGCATCAGATGCTTTAAAATCACAAAAGGGTGGGAACAACTACTAATGAAGGACAGCTTTGAAAATAGCTACAAGCTGAGATTATATACAGTTATGTAGTTCAAATTATAAACTACATACATCAATGTAAAGTGAATTGAACAGTGCGAGTAGTAATTTGTGGTTTTGTGAGAAGTAGTTGCTGCAGAGAAGAACAATGAAATTTAGTGGAAAACTTAGAAGACTTGGGAACAAATCACTGAGCTCAAAATCTTTAACCTTTCTTTTCTTCCTTTAAAATACTTGTAATAACATTGTGGCAATTTTTTTCTATGACAAGGAATTTTTTTTAAGTTTAGAATATAGTAGCAAAGGCAAAACATACCAATGATTTAAATATGACTTATCCTTGTTTTTGAATATTGTTGTTAAATCTATTGTTTCCAAACAATGCACACAAATAAAAAAAACAAAAAAAACTTAATTCAATTGAAAGAAAGTATATTTAGTTGACATAAATTGTTTCCATCAAGAGTATTGTTAGCAAGAATAATGTTATCTAGCATGGCATGATATCATTTTATAAGGTCAGGTCTTAAGGCACTAGTAGATCTTTATAAATTTATAGCCAGAAGTGGTGACTTCTGCAGTTGGAAAGATAACATTTCAAAAGAAATGTATAATTGAAAATCAGTAAAGTTGAAGTTTACAGAATATATGAAATGGAACTTTCTGATAAACAGAAAAGAAAGAATTTTAAGGCAACAGGAAGTATTTTTAATGTTTTTTCCAAAACAAAAGTGTCTTAAAGTGTCTCTTGGAAATTTCACTAAAGCAGTGTTAATTTTTTAAAC